TCAGATGGTGGACGACATTCAGTCATAAGCTATAAAACATGCTGTCACTGACCTCTGTGGTTGCAGGCACTGTGGAGTCATTCATACTCTCATTTACAGCAAAAACGTCAATTGCAGCGTCTTAACTAGCTGTCGACCGATATGTTTTTGGTTTTTTTTCAGAACCGATACAGATTATGAGCCACCTATCGGGCTGATCACTTATATCGGGTACCGACATTCTGTTTACATCTGGCTGCAGAATCTTGCGCCGGCAGATAAACACATAGCCTGGCAGCTGAATGTAAACATCAGGCGGTGGGCCTGGTATCAGTGGACCCCTACTAGTGATGGCAATGAAAGGGAGTCTCTGCCTGCTATTGGCTATTGCAATTTGAAATGGCCAACAGCAGGCTGGCTATTCCACTGCCTGCTGTTTACATTCAGCTGCAGGATCTAGCCGCTAGCAGATGAATTGGGTGGGATGAATGGGGGGGAAGAGGGGGACCCTTCACTGTCCGTATCGGTAATATTGATCAATTTAAGACAGATGCTATAAAAATGTTGTCTATCTGCCTCGATTTATCGGTAGATCTGATAATCGGTTGGCCCCTAGTCTCCACTTACTCTGCCCCCCTCGGCTTCCCCAGCAGTGACATTGCAGCCTTCCGGTTTTCTAAGCTCTAAACACAGATCAGGTACACAGTCAGAGGAGAGAGCAGAGTGCTGAGGCCAGACCGAAATTGCTTTACTGCTTTTCATGTGAATTTTGAGATTGAATAGCTCCTCAGTGTCCGCATCTACAAAGGTCAGTGACGACGTATTTTTAAAGCTTATTTACTGCTTGGTAAAATTTGTATACATATTTAAATGTCTGAAGCCTGGCCACAGTACTACATTAAGCTTTAGAAACCGCTGCGTAGTGCAAGGGCCTACCCCTGCGTAGTTATTAGTAGATCAGAGGATTGGCATGACTTTGTTCTCATTTAATGACTGCTTTCCTTTCTTCAGGCTGTTTGCGCTCAGGACCCAGGCGCCCTGTCAGCGGACCTGACCTGCAGCTTACAGGACGCCCAGCAGATGCAGACAATGTGCCACGAACAGCTACAGCTGCGTTACGAGCAAGTGCAGTGCATGGACTCTATGGCAAGCATTTCTACGAACAAAAGGAAACATCAGCCCTGAGGCGGGGTGGGGGGCGGGGGAGCCAGAGCGAGGTCACGCATGAGGTGTAACAGCTGGGTGTGACACGGCACATAGAGCACTAGTTCAACAACATGCCCCAGCAAGGCAGGTCACATGACTCGGTCTGAACTGACACCAATGATTTTACAGGCCTGCCACCATTCCAGCCAAACAAAGCATGTAAACTCTTAAAGGAAACCTGCACTTGGCAAAATGTGTAGGCTGCCATTGCTGACCTTGTCCTGAAATAGGCAAGGTGCCTGGCTGTCATGCTGATCCAATGGCTTCAGTGGTTTCCAGTTCCGTTATTTAGGAACAAGAAGGCAAGTTTGAAGTTCCGACTTTACTGGCTTCATGCTCTGAGTCAGTCCGTATTAAACCAAAGAAAGTGAAGGGAAGCAATGTATACATTTAGCTAAGTGCCATACCATACACCCCTTTCCCCATCCCTTGTGGTGGTGCCAGGCAGCCAGTTATGAAAAGTATAGTACACATCTAATTGCATCCCTGATGCTGTCTCTGTTCTCGGTCCTGGTCTGCAGACACACTGCTCTTTCCACTGCATGGTGCATACTGTAGACAGGTGGAATGTAAGCAAAGCTTACAACAGTCGGTACGTGATCGCAGAAGTAGCAGATTATAATTACAAAGTTGCTTGTTGCTCTTGGATCTGTTAAAAGGGCAAAAATGTTTTAAATGTACAACGTACATTTTTGTTCCCCTACAAATGTGGGGAAAAAAACCTGTAATTTTTTTTCCCCCTATTCTCACTTTAAACATCCTGTTCATATTTCTGCATTTTAGATGCACAGCGAGCTTGTCTTTCATCGGGATGAATGGTACCACATGTGAAATGCACTGTAATGCAGGGGGTAGGCAACCTTGGCACTCCAGCTGCTGTCCAGTTACAAATCCCATCATGCTTCAGCCTCTGGGAGTCATGCCTGTGGAAGCCAGAGTCTTGCAGTGCCTCATGGGACTTGTAGTTCCACAACCACTTGAGTGCCAAGGTTGCCTAGCCCTCATTCACACAGGTAACGGCCGGCCCGTACAGATCTGTGCGGTGTGCACGGCCGTATCGGGCAGCTCCCGGAAAAGACGGATGCTGTGTGTGATTATACGCAGCAGCCTGTCCTTCTCTATGTGAGTTTGCGGCCGTATGCCGACCTACGCTCACCCGACCTGCACAACCATACGGGTATCCCTGCTCGGATGCAGACACAATCCATCCTGTCAGCGTATGAGTACGGACACCCGCACCGTACGGACGTGCAGGTCGGGTGAGCGTAGGGAGCCATACGGCCGGCTACCGCAGCTGGAGGGCCGGAGTTTGGCTACCCCTGCCCTATGTCAATACAGGACAGAGCAGTGACATAGGGGATGGGGTGCGGTGGGGGATACCGGCATCTGACATTGTTGGAAGTGTTGAATGCTGAAGAGTCTTATAGAGGCCGCAGGACTGGAACAGAGGGACGGCAGAAGATGGGTCCAACACACAGGTGACAATGGCTGGAAACTTTCAGCAGGTTTTATTTTATACCTGTCAGGATCACGTTGTCCGGTTGTAATATGACCTGGACCAGCACAGAATTGAACTTTTAAACAACATCTTCATGAATTTAAAATGTTAACCCTTCCCATGGGGCTACCCCCGGACTGCAAGGGTTAGGTGCTCATTTTGTCTAGGGGCACAAATAAAGGAAATATACTTACCTGATCCTCAATACCTCCTGGCTGCTAGACTGGTCTCCCCAGCCTCTCTTCCCCCCGGACTCCAATGGTCTAAACCCCATTGACGCCATCGTGTCTGTGCAAGGACCATTCACTTGCTAGTAAAAGTGTTTAAAGTGTACCTAGCATCAGATATATCTTTTCATATTAAGTGCAGCATGCTCAGCAATAGGTAAGGGTAACCCTCCCAGTTTTTTTTATTTGCTCCCACAGGGATCACAGTACTTCCCCAATGGGTGTGAATCTTCTCTCAATGAAGAGTATCTTTAGAAGGGTTAGGAGTTTTATATCTGTTATAGCATACCTCTACCCCCTTTCATTAAAGATTCACATCAGCATGCAGCTCTATATGTTGATATAAAATCACCTTACATTGATTAGTTAAACATTTTTCTTTTACTTACAATTATTGTTTTTCCGCTTCCTGGTCCTCTTGGGCTTTAGTGATGTCCAAATGTTGCATCTTGGGAAGGTTACATCAGCAGAGCACTGTTGGAAAATCTCAAGAGATCTCAGGGAAAGGCATTTTTCTCCTCTGAGATGATGTGCAAGGTCACATGTCCTAGTCACATGTGCTAGAGTTCCAGGAAGTAAAGGGAGACCTATTAATCTGCCCTTAGTAAAAATGATGGCCACTGTGAGACGAATGGGAAGGAAAATAAAAAAAAAAGGTATGCAAAGAAGAACAAAAAGCCGGCAATTATCTAGAAGTATCTGTTTGTAGATTCTCATTACTAAAGATTTATAACGGCCTGTGTGTTGTGATTTCAAAGATAAGGGTGGAGGTCCGCTTTCAGTGGAACTAATTCTGGAAATAAAATATTTGGCAATGATTACAATAAAATATTTTATCCAACTTTGCGTACTTTGGGCTACAAAGGGGCTCTCTTTATCATCTCGGAAAGATGGAGGGAATGCTAATGTATCTAGATCAGTGGAAAGTCACTGAAAAGGAAGGATACAATGTTTCATTTTAGAAATAAAGATGGTAATTGTTTCCTTATATCTGATCCCATTCACGTCTATGGCTACTAAAGAATCGGGAAATACCGTGAGGGGGATTTGTCAAAGTCTGGAGCAGCTGTGCACGGCAACCAATCAGCTTCTCTCTTTCATTTTGAAATCTTAAAGTGACATTAAACCCTCAGATTTTTTAACATAAACCAATACTGTAATGTGTGCCTTACTGTAATCCATGGTTGTTTCCCTTCTCTTTGCTGCTCTTCCTTTTAAATCCTCATGTCTTCTCATGCTTGGGGAGAACTTCCCTTTGCAGCTGAGTGCCTCTTCCTGTAGTGCTGGCTCAGGTTGTGAACCTTCACACAGACACCATGTATCCATTCCAGAGACAAGGCAGTCTGCTGCAAAACAGAAGTTCTGCCCAGCATGAGAACAGATACAGATTTAAAAGGAAGAGCAGCAAAGAGAAGGAAAACTACCATGGATTACAGTAAGGCGCACATTACAGTATTGGTTTATGTTAAAAAATCTGAGGGTTTGGTTGCCATAGGCAACTGCTCCAGGTTCTGTCTGCTCCAGTTTTCATCAATTCCTCTCAGCGTCTATCAAAAGTATTCACCCCCCTTGGATGTTTTAATCTGTTATTGTCATAGAACAGGGGTGGGCAACTCCGGCCCTCCAAATCCCAACATACCTCTGGGAGTCATGCCTTTAACTGTCAGTCTTGCAGTGCCTCATGGGATTTGTAGTTCCACAACAGCTGGAGGACTAGAGTTGCCTGCCCTTGTTTAGAACATTGACTCCTAGTAGATTTTTTTTTTTTTACACACATTGATCAGCAGAAAAAAAATGTAATATCAAAATGAAAAGAGATCTCTTTAAAGCCGTGGTTCTCAACTGGTGGGTCGTGACCCAAAAGCGGGTCGCGACCCTGTGTTCAGTGGGTCGCCACATGCCTTCCACTTTTCTAGGGGAGAAGCTCCCAGCCTCCCCCTAGCACAACACTGTCCATTCTTACACTGAGCAGCCATTCAAAATATGCTGCCTGGCTCTGAGTGTTGACTTGAGGTGGGCTGGGGGTATGCCCGCTAGGGAGCTCCAGCCATACGTGCATTGCTTATAGCTCCCTTGCATGGCCTGGACTGGAGTGACATCACATTCTGGCTCCTGGCACCTCTATAGAGCGCGTGTGGGACCTGTACAAGCAATGCACATATGGATGGAGCTCCATCACAGCACAGCAGCCCACACTGCCGTGCGCTCCATTGTAGTGCGACTTGGGTCGCGACCTAATGATCGAGGACACATGTGGGCAGCGGCGTATTTAACTTTGCTGCTGCCCTAGGCAAGGCAGCAGCGCCGCCCCCTCCCCCGCAGCTTCTCGGAAAATCCCCCCTCCCCTGACTGACCCGCCGCTGCTCATACAGCACCCCCCCCC